AAACATGTGTCATATTTTCAAGCAATCCAAAACGGGATTTTTCTTCATGGCCAGTGGCAACTGAACCTTGGGAAAGGGTACACGTCGATTTTGCTGGTCCTTTCTTTTCTCGCATGTGGTTGATCTTGGTTGACTCTTATTCTAAATTTCCTTACGTTTTTGAATTGTCATCAGCAACGACTTCTTCTACAATAACAGCGCTGCAGAAAATATTTTCAGTTGAAGGTCTTCCCAAAACCATTGTAAGTGATAATGGACCACAATTCACCTCGGAGGAGTTTCAGACCTTTTGCAAATTGAATACGATTGAGCATCTTACATCTGCTCCTTTTCATCCGGCATCGAATGGTTTGGCAGAACGTTTTGTAAGAACATTCAAGCAAGCGTTTTCTAAAATTATGACTACTGAAACTCATCGTGAAAAAGCTTTATATAAGTATTTGGCTACATATAGATCCACACCGAACACAGTCAGTGGAAAATCTCCAGCAGAACTGTTACATGGACGTCAATCGCGCACTATTTTATCTGCATTGTTTCCACAAAAACAAAATGTATGCTACAGTAATTCCAAATTTCACGTAGGTCAAGAAGTTTATGCACGAAATTATTCCGGAGCCAAAAGATGGGTTGAAGGACAAATTCTTGAAGTTATTGGTCAAATGATGTATCATGTTCAAACAGAAACGGGAACAATCAAGCGCCATCAAAATCAGTTAAAGGTCAAGTTAGTTACTCCACACACTGATGCTTATTCTAAATCAAACCGGTCTACATACGATATTGATATTGAACAAGATTTTGAAAATCAACGTTTGCATCGGTTGCCGTATGAACCAATTTCTCAGAATGAAAGAACATTTTCAGAGTCAACGGGTTCAGCAAGTTTACCAAACACGACAACTGCAACTACGAGCCAAGAATTAACATCTTTAGTTCCTATGCGTCAAGCTTCTAGTTTTAAACGACCACTTGAATCACCTACTGTTCGACGATCTAATCGCAAGCGTTTCAAAGTGGATAGATTTCAAGCAAATTAGCTGCGAGGAAATGTTGTAAATTTAACTTATTACTTGTTATTTTACTGCTTGTTATAATTGAATCGTTGTAACCAATCCAAGTTCTTCAAATGAGTCAGAAGACAATTTGTTTGTTTTTCATTCAATATTAAATACTTGAATCGTAAGCTGTTAATTCTCTTTGACTTCCGTATAACTTTAACAGTAACCATAACCAAATCATGTGTTGGGAGAAAAATATTTAGTTGGCGTAACTAAACTCTTTCTCAGTGCAACGAAACTATTCCGCTCCAATTTTCAAGGCTACATAAATGAACTTAACAAAAGTGTATTTATTTATTTTAAATTAGAGATGTACATCTTGCAATAACTTTGAGATGTAGGTCATATCAAAATCGATAACTTCATAAAACACGTATGGTAACATCTCCTTTCTCTTGTTTTTTTAGTTATAATACATATATAGTTTTTTTTGTCTTAGTACTAAAAGGCGAATCTATCTGGTTCTTTTCCTTGTCGTTTGAAATGTTGTTGTTACGGCTGTTTTCATCGCTTGCTGTGCCTTTCCTCTTCTCGGTTTCTGCATTGTACCCCTCGTTGGTTTGCTTTGTTGTTGTGGTGGAATGCATTTGATTATCTGCTGATGTTTGTCGTTCGCTGGCGTCTTTTGTTGGTATAGTTCTACTAATGTCTCTTACATTTCGACGATATAATGTACCTTTGACACTAACCCTTTGACACTAACTAAGTATGATCGCGTATTAAATTGTTCTTGAATAACACCACGTTCAGGCGAAGAATTTTTTTTATTTTTTTATTTTTACGAAGACTTCTTCACTAATTTCTAGTCGAGGAGGTGGTTTTGCGATTCGGAGCATGTGTTGAATGCTGTTATAAACATTGGTTTGAGTTTCGGGATATAGTTTATTTGGATTGGTTGGAATTGTGGAGCGTAGCCGACGAGACATAAGCCTTTGAGCTTTCGATAATTCAACACCGAAGCCCATAGATCCTCACCGCTCTCCAAAGCTTTAGTTATTAGGCGCTTCGCAATTTCGACTGCATATTCCGCCTTACCATTGCGCGTAATTGGGCAATGACGTAGAAACTTTGATTTCCCATGCATTTAAAAAAATTAAAGCTTCTTTGCTAGTGAGCTGCGTGCCGTTATCACCACAATAACTTCACGTATACCATGCCGGGCGAAATTGCGCTTGCAGCATTCGATGATTTCTTTTGATGTCCTACTTTTCAATTCATCTAATTCAAAAAAATCTGAATAATAGTCAACGGTAACTAAGTATTTAAATTTCTTGTTTCTGTTCAGATCATTTACTTCAAAAATATCCACTGCGATACGTTTGCATCGGTAATTTTTTTGACGTCTGATCAAATTTTATGCATGCTTCGCAGGATTTGACACAAACCTTTATGTCGTCGTTCATTTTCGGCCAAAATATCGAATCTCTTGCTAATTGCAAGCTTGACTCAATACCTTGATGACTTTGGTGGATACGACGCAGCATATCTTTTCGCAATATTAATGGTATTATGATTCGATCATTTTTGTGTAGGAGGCCGTTCTGATATGTAATTTGGTCTCGATATTGCCAGAATGGCTGGCCAACTCTCCAAGACAACATTTGCTAGCTGTTGTAATGTTTCATCTTTTTTTGTTGCTTTTTGGATAGCTAATACTCTTTCATCTTTTATTGGAAGTATATCAAGGCTGTTAATGTTTTCAAATTCGTTCAACAGCTTCTGTATCTTGTAAATTTCATTTTCGCTTTGTACCAACTTGTTATTTTCGTTTGTTGGCGTTCTTGACAGAACGTCAGCTATATACATTTCTTTTCCCCGCTTATATTCAACTTCCACATTGTAACGTTGGAGCGACAATAGCATTCATTGTAAGCGGCGAGGTGCTACTAGAACTGATTTTTTGTAAATGCTCTGAAGTGGCTTATGATCAGTTTCAACTTTTACAACTTTACCACAAAGATATTGGTCAAACTTTTTGCACGCGTAGACAATCGCTAAGCATTCTTTTTCGATTTGAGCATAGCGCTGTTCCGTTTCTGTGAGCTTTTTTGAAGCATATGAAATCGGACGGCCGTTTTGCAGCAAGTTAGTACCAATTCGGAACTGTGATGCATCGCACTTGATCGTGACGGCGTCGTTCACGTTAAAATAACCTAAAACGGTAGGAGTCGTTGCCAGTCGTTTAAGGGTTTGGAATTCGTCATCTTGCTCTTTTGTCCACGTCCATAATATTTTTTTTTTAAGAGTTTTTCTGATTGGCTCTACAACTTCGTATAATAATAGTTGCCATGCCCAGAAACCGCTGTGTTTCTGCTGTATTTACAGGGGCTGGCATGTCAATAATCGCTTTTATTTTTTGCGGATTAGCCCTGATTCCATCAGAGGTAAGAATGTGGCCGAAAAATGGAACTTATTTTTTACACAATTTAACTTTTTCTAAATTTGGTTTGGTATTTGATTTATGTATTCTTTCTAAAAAATTTTTAAGATTTTTATTATGGTCTAGTATGGCCTCTTCATCTGTTGAGCCTTTTCCAAAAACTACGATATAGTCAGCTATAGTATCAACGCCCTCCAAACCAATTAGTGCTTCACTTTGTTTCTGTGCAAAAATTTCAGACGCGCAGCGAATTCCAAACGGCATACGCAGCCAACAGTATCGCCCTTTTGGAGTCCAAAATGTCGTTAGTAAACTGCTTTTTGCATCTAACTTCAGCTGCCAGAAACCGTTTTTTGCATCGAACATTGAAATACTCGTGACAGTGTTCATTTGGAAATGTGGAACACGGATCGCTTTATTTCAATTATATGGATCCAAACAAACACGAATAGAGTTGTTTTTTCTTTTCACAATTACTATATTGCTTGTCCAATTAGTAGCACTGCCAACTTTTTTAATAAAACCACTTTTCTCCAATCTCCAAAAAATTGAGCTTTGATCGTAATTGGGATACGACGTGATCGGTCTGTATTTGGTGTAGCATCAAATTCAGTTGTAGTTTCACGGTGATGATTTATTTCGTTTCAACGTTAACGATTGAGTTTTGTTTCGTTAATTCAGCTCTGAAACGAAACGAAATTATTTTGATAAGTTATTTTTGCGTATCAACAAAACGAAATCGATTCATATAGTTTGTTAAGCATCTCTGGTTTTAAAATATATAAACAATACAGCCTCAATATTGTCTTCAATTTTATTCTTTATGTTGTTTATTACGCAAATGAGTGACATTTCTAAACAGGCATTTGCTGACAATAGTGGCATTTGATCGCCATCTATCACTGGAACGTAATTTTATATTTCTTATTGTTACGTTTTTCTTTTAGCACTACTTGTCCAATCGGAGTCATAATTTTCCCACTAAAACATTTCAACTTGACATTACTTCGCGATAAGTTAATTTTCTCTTGTTTGAAATTTTTTTTTTAAAAAGTTGAATCCAACTACGCAGAAACTTGCAGCTGTGTCAAGCTGACATTTCATTTTCTTGTATTGCTTTTCCACAGTCATAAGCAAATCTGCATAAATGTTGTTTTTTTACATTATGATAGGAGTCTGCGGTATTATGTATTACATTTGCTCGTCTTAGCTCATCTCGCCCTGCTTGGTTGTTTCTCTCTTTTTTGTTTTCCGTACAGTACGAATGAATATTGTTGATATATTCGTACTCGTACTTGATCCGACTCGTTTGAATAAATGTCATTTATCTTATTTACATTTTCTTTTGTTCGGCAAACTTTTGCAAAATGTCCCGTTTTTTGCAAACTTTACATGCCGCGTTTTTCGCTGGGCATAAGTTTCGTTTAAACACGTATCCGGTCGGCAGATCTTATTGGATTCTGCTTTGGGGCCTTTGTTTTAGAACTTTTTAGTTTGGATTGTTTGTGATACACTTTATTCACTTCAGCCAACTCTTCTGAGGCAATATTTTTGAATTGTATTTCTGCTTCTTCGAATGAGTTACAAATTGTGATGGCTTTTGTTAATGTCAGGTTGTCTTGTTGATGTAATTTTTTTCTAATTTCCTTGTTTCTAATACCGACAACCAGCCTATCTTTTATAAAGTCTTCCGTGGCATCACTATATTGACATGTTTTAGCGAGTTTTCTCAATTTCACTATGTCGTCATTTATGTTTTCGTCTGACTGCCGGGTTGTATTGGAAACATACCTCTCATACGTAACATTAGTGTTTGGGTTTAACTGCCATTCAAGCGCGTTCAGCAAATTTTCTGAAATTGACTTGTCTGCTTCCGTTAATGGAAGATTCTGAATTTTTACAAGGCAATCATGACCTAACATGGATATCAGAATTGCCACTTTAGTCTTTTCTGGCTTTGTTTCTATTTCTGATGCGATAACAAAATTTTCCCAACTAGCTCGGAAAATTTTTATATTTTCATTCTCATCGCCCTTTAAGTTTAATGGTCTAGGTTTGGCGACTTGCGTTACGGTTTCGCGCCATGTGGAAACTTCAGACTTTACACTACCCGTTTCCATGTTTGATGTTTATGCAAAGATTTATTTAGATTTAATATACTGCTATTTTCAATCGGACACCATGTTTGATATTAAAACGAAGCACGTCTGTACATAATCAGAACATAACAAAACTGTCTTTATTCATTTTAAATTAGAGATGTAAATCTTGCACTTACTTAGAGATGTAAGTCATATCAAAATCGATAACATCATAAAACACATATCGTAACACTTACCCTAATTGTATTTTGTTAATGTAATTGTACTAAAGTGCTTAAAACTACTATTAACCTATAAAACGATTCCTAATCTTGGACAATACATGTTTGACTTCATGCACAACGATTTTAAATACTGACCAATTCGGCGTGGCCAAATCCATGGTCCTTTTAATATTATATAAACATCCGAAAACATTAAAACGTTGGAAATAAATCTCGCCTCACTTTTGTATATTTTTCTCCTGTTTGCTGAAGTAGTGAAGAATTGAAAATTAT